GCCGGTGAGGTATAAGTGGACCTGCAGGGATTAAGTGGACCTATCTGGGACGCCGATAGGGATTAAGTGGACCCATTAGGACGCTGATGGGGTATATAGGTGACCTACTTGGGTTGCCAGTAGGGTATTTTGTGAAATCCTTTGAATTATGCAGTGCCGTTAAAGTGTTATATGCATTTCAATAATTCGGATTATACTTAATTATGTATTTATTGAAAGTGAAACTGTTGATGCATTTCTGTTAATAGATCTCATTTTTGAAAATATTGATATCTTTCAACCATGATTATTTTTAGGATTATGATGATCACTTACTGAGTAGCCAAACTCATCAAACTATGGGAAACATTTTTTTCAGGATAACTGCGGATTTATTTTGAGTGCTAGTCAAGATCAACCTTGGAAGATATTGTTGTTGTGCTAGTTTTTTTTATTTACTTTGTAAAACCTCGCCATTGTAAATTTGTCCTATCAAGAGATGTATATATGTTTTGGACTGTCACATCTCAAGAATATCTGTATTGAAATCTCTTGGGGTGTGACAAAGGGGTACATTCTGGGGAGGATGTAACTAATTAATATTACGTATCTTAACTATCGAATCTACAGCAACCAAGATTTTTCAAAGATCATAAAATAATCCACAAATGTACACAAGCCACCAATTTAAAAAACACTACAATGCAAGAACTGCTAAGCATGAATGAATTATATAATGTCTAAATATGGAATTACCCATCCACATATGTTTTTATGGCCTTTGGGCATGACACCCATGCCGGACACATCGACATACACACTAACATAGATTCTTCTGGATTCTTTTTCTTATTCAGTAACGATTGACAACATCATTCTAGAGACTAGATCTTCTTCTTTTTTATTCAGGAGACACATACAAACTCTTAAAATAGGTACAGAGTGATGATTGATTTTTATTTGGCTCCTCATCATGAAAAGGAATATAAGTAAAAAATAAAAAAGTCTGATTTCGTTATATCTTAAAATACAGCCACGTCATTGAATCATATTCTTAATGGTATGAGGAATCTGATGCCTTATACCTATATCAAACACTAACACGGGTATCCATGTCCATGCAACACTGATTTTTGTAATTGAAATATAGTTTACTCAATAAAACAGGGGCATTTATAAGTTAATGAAGCATATAGATGCATTGGATACATAGGTTCGCACTGAAGTACTTGGATATACACAAACAACCAAATGTGATTTTAAGGAAAATTGTTCCTATATAATCGGTAGATCAGAAAAGCTTTTAGCAAAAGAATATAAACTCATATACATGCCAGCGCACATATATTCATGAATATAATTAGGCATGATATGTATGTTCGAATATATGTTAGTATATATATTCCAGAAGCGCAACAATATTTTATTTAAAGGAGGGTATGGGTTTCTAAAGGAGTATATAAAAACTTAATGTCTGCCTTCCATATACTCACATACTTAACTACATATTCATATATTAGAATGCACAGTTTCTCAAGCACTTATTCTTATGTAATTGGCACTTCAGTAGAAAGAGGTAATCTCAAAAGAATTTACGCATGCACATGAAAGGAATTCTGCATTGTACAAATGTGTGTAGTTGTGTATACTTATTCACATATATACGTAGTGGAACTTTATTAAATTACATACACATAATTATCCATAAATGACTACATATACAACGGTAAGCAGTGAAGGAAATTTTAGCAAACACATTGCATAGACAAAGAAACCACAAACATAGCTATCAAGTATCAACCAAAGAACACGGAACAAACCTTCCTTCCACTGACACGCCATGACTGAAACCCAATCCATGGATGCTTGTGGATGTTATCTATCACATTAGCAATAGAAAACAAGCCACCAAATTCACAAAAAACACCCCTATAGTAACTGTTATTCACAAGAGGAAGGCGTTCAACCGCATCCAGATCATCCGAGTTAGTTCTTCGTGACCCTGCAGACTGCAGACAGGCAATTCAAAGGGTAAGACTTCTATCTATATGTCTAAAAAATATGACCTTCAAGGGTGCCAGCATTACATATCCAGGGAGATACACACACAACCATAGCCCATAAAAACCTACACAGTTTCGTATAGATCATCTTCGTCTTTTTTGCAAGTACTTCCTATAGAATCACTAGCAGGCAAAAAGAAGATACTAGGATAAGTAATGCTTGGAAACTTAAGATATCAACTAGAGAAATGCCTGCAGAAATATTTGGCATAGTATAAGAAATATCATATAAGGCGTACAAGGTGAAACCATAAGGGCAGCTAGGAAAGGAATTTATCTCTTGAAGTATAAGCACATGATCATTGGATATTATTTTGGAAGCTGTATTTGGATTTAGGATATCAAACATGATAAAGTTAATGTATTTCATAACCAAGCAAACTAATTTTGTAGCTCAAAAGGGCATGTCATCTAGCATGCAGCACCATCCATGTCCATGAAAATTTCCAATGACAATTAATGCATCATTGGAATTCAGGTACTAGCTTGATTGCAACATTGTTTCCCAAGTTTAGATCCCCCCGCTGACCTATCCAAAAAAAACACTACTGCACAGGACAATGACAGAACCCAAAACAGAAGTGGCACAATAAAGCAACTAAAGGCTTTTATAAAGTAGAACATGTGAATTAGACCTTGCATATCCAAGAAAAATATATCTTCAGGAAATAAGCATCCAAAATGTTTACCACTTACAACCATCTCAATGAAGACTTACATTTGCATATGACGATCAATGAAATATAAATACAAAATAAGTACTTTTCTCCAAACATTATGCTGCACACAGATCAATGTCTTTCGAATCCAACTAAGTATAAACGATCACTGAGATGGTCTAAGTCAGTGCCTAATAATGAGCATGCAACACAATATTAGCTTTCATATAACAGAAAGGGAACTGAAGAATGTTAAACCAGTCCTAGAGTATATGCTATCATTTGTAAGAAACCAAGACCGACTCTAATTACTTGAGTGATATATCTGAAGTCCTCTATAAACTATACACAACAGCAAACAAAAACAACATAAAGAAAAGAAAACAGCTCTTAAGCCACACAAATTTTGGGATAAATAGCACGATGCAAGATATAAAGAAATCTGGAACTCACAAAATAAAGAGAGTATTTTAAATCTAAATTAAGTCAAAAAATTTCTCAGCAATAAGATCAAATTGACTTTACCATTTTAAAAATGCAGATACAATGAGCCCAAGATAACTGGTACATGAGAGAGAAATTAAAAAAATAAAGGGAAGTTCACTTTTAAATTAGTTAACATTTTGCACTTTTTCCAATATTCCAAGTCAAAATCATGTGTATTTTGACGGCCATTTGAAATTAAATCAAAACATATGGGTAAAATGTTAAATAGTTAATATATTAGGAGCATTTTGACAAATTTCCCAAAAAGAAAAGGGAAATGAAGAGCAATGACAGATACATGAGAAATAATTTTAAAAGGTGAAGAAAAATGGGTACCAGATCAAGAAGCCAAGAGAGCATATAGGGAGCTTTTAATGGAAACTTTTACATTGCGAGAGCTATTGAACTCACAAGACTCAGGCCACGATAGAGTGAACCACGGTGCAGAAAAGGCCAGGCACCTGCCCCATCATAAATCTCGTAGATACACAATGGAAGGCCTGTCCTCTCAAGCTGCCCTTCATCTCTTTCATTTGATTCAAAATTCGCCTTTTCACATTTCCTAGCATTTCTGTGTACATCATCCCATGATTCCACGCCGCTCTCCATCCTCCCATTTAGCTGTACATTCATTATCCATGAAAGAGGGAGACACATTAAGATTGCTCACTAAAGTGACACCCAAGGGAAACCTTTTTATTTTTATTTTTTGGCTTGGATCAAGTTAGACTATATAAAATAGAAGTAGTACACAAGAAGAAAACCAATACCTCCTCCATTTCTCGTCTTTCATATTCTTCGGATATTTCCATATTTCTTGCATCATCCCAGTCCTGCTGGGTAGGGATGTCCTTTGTGAAATTCTTAGCCTCATTGTCAAATGCCCTCATGCTACTCTTCCATCTTTCTTCTATAGCAAATATCCAACTTGAATTTCTATGCAAAATGTTTAGCTTTCTAACACCCTCCCCTAATATCTGATAGTCTCCGGCATTCATTTCATCGCCTATAAGTTTCCATGCCCATTCCACATCAGGAGCACGGAGTCTTAAAACAGGTTTTGGCAGCCTTGCATCTGAAGGAAACTGGACAACATTCTCTAGAAGTTTCACATAACTAGTGATAAAATCCAAAACGATCATGTATCTTACACGTAACCTTGCAGTAGAACCAAGTAAATAAGCACGCCTGTTCAGCTTTCCACGCGTAAAAAGTTTTGAGAAAATTGCAGTCAAACTCCCAGCATCATTCGTGGGATAGATCAAGCCATTAACATCATTCTGGATCTGCGTAAGTGTTGATTTAGCACAAATGAAGATCACTAAAGCCAAAAACAAAGATCAATTATTCAACTATTAATCTAAACATTCATACACTCACATATCTTCTCAAGAAAGGTAGATCAGGGGCCATGACTAGTTTTCCAAAGCCCATTGCCCGAAGGAATAATGGAGGCAGCACTTCTTCTTCTTGAGAGGACCCGTAAAGAACAATGTCAGCCATAGATAGGACATTATCAACATTGTCATTCTCACCATAGAACCTCATAGAATCCGCTGGGAGACCCAACCATGAAGTTATATTCTGATCACAGATCACAACACAAAGGATTAACAATTTTAAGAAGTCATGACTATTATAGAATGTTTCAATCACATCTGCCTTAAAACTCACCACCATAAACAGGCTTTAAATACAGGCAAGGTTATGAAAGCCTAACCAATTGAACTATTGAAGCTTGATAATATAGGCTTAGCATGGCCAATCAAGTGTAAAATTGAAATAAGTGGCTATGTGGAATTCAATGGAGTGTTGGTGGTCTACGACCAATGGGCTAGAAATGCAATCTTTTAAAAAAATTTCACTGTATTAGAACTCAAGGGTTTAAATGATTGAATATCTCAATACAAAACCATAATACATATATTCCAGCCTACAAACATAGTTTATACACATTTGAATAATAAAAATTAAACCCAAATCGGTCCCTTACAAATCCCTTACTCAAAAATATAATTAAACTCAATACAATATCCCAATATTCACAATGTACATCTTTACAACATATTACATGACCTGTACTCGCAATTCCTCATTATATCAAAATTATATGATAATTCCATCTCCATTCTTCTTCCTCATCATATATTACAATGTCTCATACACATCATACACTTGTTCATAATAATCCAATGAGATTTCAATTCACATAACTAATAAAGCATAGCATTAAAGCCCATACCACAAGATAAAAGAACAATCTCAATATTCATTTAACATACTCAATTTAACCAATCATGAATCACTTAATAATTGTAAATACATCAAATTAACATCCAAACATACATGGGGGAAGTCATGGTTCGAACCCCTTGTGCTCGAGCCACGAAAGGGCCTTTCGAAGACTTAATTTTGTCCCATTGTCTAATGCACGAGTGATAATAATAACTCATAGAGATCAATCCAATGGGAAGCAAATGATCACCTTTATTTCACTTAATGGTGATCAAATTATGAGAGAGACATGTATCAAAATAGTCGCTAAAAGTTTGAAAAAGATACTACACAAAATAAAGAAGTTATTGTGAAACTACATTATGTGGTCCATAAGGAACCACACGAACTTTTCAACATTAAAAAAGAAACTCAAGGGACTATTTCATATACTCAAATATGATGAAATAAACCTCTCATCAGTTGTATATTCTCAGTAAAAAATCCAGAAAAATAAGATCAAGAAAATCAAGGTAAAACTACTCAAGATCATGAAGTAAACAAGCTAGGCTACACATAGCATACGTATTGACTACATTGTTGCTTTGGAACTCTTCAAATATCAAGTTCTCATGACCAAAAATGAAGAAAGTTACTGTAAATTAAGAATTACAGCAAGATTTGATAATGGAAATGAGGTAGGAATTAAAATACAGAAAAAAAAAAAACCTTAGTGAAGCAATAGTATGGGCTTGATCACACAAATGAGTGACTACTCCATAGAAGGGTTTCAAATGAAAGCTCAAAGAAAAAGATAGTCTCATGGGTGGCCACCTTTTTGTCAAGGGGGCTCTCTTTGTCTCTCTTTGGAGGGAATACACAAGTTAGGGTTATAATTGCTCCCATAAGTTGTTTTTATAAATAGATCATAAAGATGGATTTGATTTTGATCCTTGATGCCTAAGATTAATGGCACATGAGAGGACTCATCTATATCTTATCACCAAGATCAATGGATGATCTTTTGACACCCTTCACTCCTTAAAACCTAGGTTTGTAGTCATTTTACCTTAAAGCCCTTAGTTCCATGTATTATTTCTCATTAAGTCCAAATTCATGTTTACACTTATGCCCATGGTTTTTGAATAATTTTTAAAGTTAATAAAAGACAAAGACATGGACATAAAAGTAATATGGGACATCCACACATGTGAATAAAATATCTTACGACACCACCAATAGGATTTCAACAACACTAAAGGTTCACATGGGTCAAGCCTACAAGGTGGTGCCACATAAGATATACCCATACGCCATAAAATCATATGTGGATAATAATATTAAATCTAATTAATTTTCAAAATCCCATAACTTCACCTATGTCAAATAAACCACATGTGAACAAACACCATATGACAAAATAACTCACTTAAATCACAACATTATAAAATATAATGTTTTAAATAAACATAATATAACCAAATTACAAAAGACAACAATGCCCCCACGCATGGGCATGACATCAGCATGATGTCACTGCCCAAGGGGGTGTGGGGTGCCACGTGGCATCCTTATGGCCACTTGGGACCCACGTGGCATCCCCATGGCTCATTCTCGATCGTTATTTTGGCTAAACAATTTCAATAAAATAATTTTTGGTGTTTTAAAAGTTTCAAAAAATTCTCCAAAAATCCCAAAAATTCTCTAAATGATTTTTCAACATTATTACACATTTTCGCATCAATATAAAAAAATTTCTCATCAATTTTAGATTAATTTGGGCCAAAGGTAAATCAGATCTCTAGACTTATAACACTAGTCGGAGTCTTCCATTAGGCTAACCCGAATGACGTTCCACCAGTGTCTTAAATCGACACAACGGACCTATGCTCCACAGTTTATGGTAGGGACACATAATTGGTCATATCAAAGTTGATGAGCCAAAGTTTCCCATCACCGGAGGTTCAATGGATTACTGGTGCACCCTTGTGGAACATTTTCCTACTCAAATATAGGGGTCCTCTCAAAGCACATGTACACTAGCTCTTCCAAGTCGGATAATACTATAGAAGAATAGTTTCCCCATATGACTTTGGGTGCATATGCTATGGAAACGGTCTCGTGTCAGGATACGGGCTCACGTCCCATGAGCCGATCATTCCATACAGGGCAAATAATCTTTTAAATACTCGGGTTCTATTATTCTCAATTGGATTCTCCAAGCCCTGGTTTATCACATCAACTATGAGGCATTTTAATCAATATAGTCCTGACTAGGAGGTGATCCTCACACCTCCCCGAGAGTTCACACTCTCAAAACGCATACTCTCAATGCCTCAAATACTCGGGGTATATGAATCTAAGCCCCAATGTGCCAAACACCTAGATTCGGTCTCTCTCTAACTCCCACTAAGCGTAAGACTCTTGGCTTTAAGGCCTTGAAAAGGTCACATAGCTAACATGGAGTAAGATAAAAAATTCTCTTTTCTTTCTTAATGTATTGAATTCCACTTATAAGTGCCACAAAACTTTATTTTAAACAAGAAATAAAACCTTAAATACAACCTAGGATACTTCTTTTTACTGCCAATTATAATAAACATGATCCAGAATTGAAATACAAGCTTTAACTATAAATTTTAGAATAAATTATGTTCCTGAATACCCAAATAAATAAGCAAAGAATTGTTAAAAAATAAAACCAAACAGCCCCCTGAGGACTGAGTACACCTCACAACCGATTTCCTATCTGATGGCGTACTTGATCCGATTGACCTTGCTGAATTTTCTGAGTTGGGAAGCTTCCTTAGGCAAAGACCTCACAAATTTGGGGCTTTGAGAGCATAAATACGATTAGGGTTCCTAGACCTCTTTTGGACCTTTGGAGCATGCCATTCTACGGCACCTCCCCTAACCTAGACTAAGGCAGGGTGTGGTGGAGGTGCATGCCAACCCTAGGCCCTCATGGGGTTGGTGTGCCAAGAGAAAGAGAGAGTTGGCTGTAGAGGAGAGAGAAGGGGAAGAGAGAGAGAGAGGTTAAGAAAAAATTATGTAGAGAATGAGGGGGATCCCCTCCTTAGGCCTCTAAGGCCCTAGGTATGCCTATCCAATTTGTGACTCATCATGACAAATAAGATTTAGGAAATATGTGAGGTGAGAGAAGACATAAATCTGAAGCAATTTTTTAAAACGTCCTTTATGTCTCCCAAAAATTGTAGAAAGTCGAAAAGAATAAAAGATTTAATCCGATCTGGATCCAACCGTTATTAGAATACTATATATTATTTTATATATACATATATGGTCTAAGAAGGGTGATGACTTTAAACTTTCCCTTAACCCATTCCATGCCTGAGTAAAGGGGCATGGTTGTGTTAGGTAGGCAGCCAACATAAAATTTTGCCAAAACTCATCATGAATGTTGATATACATATATGTTATATAGTATTTTTTTGTTATATATTATTATATGCATATTATATAATATTTTTTGTTATTTATTAATTTATATTATTTTATAGATATAATATAATATACAAAATAATTTTTTTGAATTCGATAAGGTCCGGATCCGGATCTTAATCCCATGTATACTTTTCAGATCTGGATATGGATCCCATGTGTACTTTACGAATCCAAATCTGAATCCCAATGGATCTAGACCCAATCCGACCCATTCTCAACCCTATCAAAGATATTTTCAAAAACTAACACTCACAAAATGGGGAAATAATATCCATTTCTTAACCAACCATAATACCTTTTATTTTTAAAACAAAAACAAAAGAAAAGAGGAGGGGGCATCCCACCTCCATAGGTGAGGTGTGGGCCCCATGCTCTCCACGCCCCACCCTTGTGGGTGTGGTGCACATGTGCAACTAGATCCAAGGGCCCCATGTGTACTAACTAGCCCATCCACAAAATAAAATTTTCTAAAAGGCCCTTTCAAGGTTTCTTACAATTGAAAAAATCTGAAAATTTTTAAACTCCACATAATATTTCTTACACTAAAAACAAAATATCTATAAGTGGACTGGTATGGGTCGAAAAAAGTGACTGTCAGGGCACTCCACTTGATGTTGTAACCATGATCCTCAACAATCTTTTCAAACCAATCCAACAAGATCCATGACCACAGTCTCACGCAGGGGTTCCTGATTGGCTCGTGCCAACAAATAGTTCAAGTGTTATTTTGCCCTAGAAAATATATATTGCATTCTAATAAAGTAGAAATTTGACAGACAAAAACATTGAATAACTAAATTCTTAAGAAAGCCTTTCAGTATTATTATTGTTTGCAACAAATTATTTGCCCTTGGTTTTCAACAACGATTTAGAGTTCATTCAAGAGCAAATTAGCCTTCATCTAT